CAACATTTTTAGAAGACAAATATTTCATATATCAGGGTAATAGATAAACCAAGGATAAATCTGACTAGAGATGCTGGGAGTGAGAGGAAGTGGCCCTGCTGTTTACGTTGCATTGTTTATTTGCTGACATACGCAGTTCATTTTGGCATTGATTTCAGTTGAAGGCATGTGTATTACTCTCGCAGCTTGAAGTGACACAATGATATCAGAAAGCAACAGGGATGAATGAATAAGGTGAAGTGATTTGTCACCTACGATCCAATGCAACTTGTGAGTTTTACTATTACAGCGCAGGGTAACAACCTCTCACAAAGCAGCGAACTGTGAAAAACAGGGCTATGCATGTCCTTTTCTGTGGCAGAATTTTCTTTTGTCTTTTAATTTTGACAGTGATACTAAAATGCCGTTTGATACCAAATGATATATTTGAAACTCTAGAGGGAGGACTTTTTTCTAAAATGGGCCAAAAACCTGAAGTTTCTCTGTTTAGGATAAAGAGGAAGAGGATGACAAACTGATGTGAAACATTACTTTTTTTTTTTTTTTAGCAAACTTGCTATGCAACTTCTAGTTTTGGCTCTTTTTCTTGTATTTTCAGCAAAAAACCCCATCTGAATCTGGTGAAAAGCAAGCGATAAAGAATTGTCTATGTAAAAACCTTTGATGGGGAGATGGCCCTAACAGAATGATGTGTTTTGGGGTGGGGGGGAACTTTACATGGTATCTAAAAGCTTATATACATAATTCATGGAGATCACGTGTAAGTAAACCTTACTGCTGGGAGCCGGGAGCCTGCAAACCTGAGAGAAGATATTTCCATGTTCAGTGTGCTATGGACAGGTAGCTTTTTGTTAGATTTTTAATGTCTGTTTAGTATAGGCTGCAATGTTCAGTATAACTACAGAGCTTAACTCTGGCTGAGAATTTGGGGTAATTAATTATTCAGATGATTGATACTAAAATTTTTGAAGTATTATTTTCAAAATATGTGTGTTGTAGCTACAGAGTTAAGGGACTAATTGCAGCCAGTTGGTGGCTGCAAAGGCTCTCCTCTGAGGTTTGGGGACCGGGTGTTTCGGGGAGCCATACACAGCACCAAGTGGATGCCTCATGCTGACCTAAAAATGGAACTTGCAAGAGTTGCTTACGCTCATCTCTGCAAAGATCCACTCCTTGCTGCTCTTCAGTGGAGCTACACAAGCATTTAAAAATAGATACTGGGGGAAAAAAAAATAAATAAAATCAAACAGAACAAAGCTAAGTTAATTTTATTTTATCTTGTTCACTTCCAGCAACTGAGGTTCATTACTTACACAGATTCCTTTGGGGTTAGAAGAGGATTTATTTTCATTCTTTCTGTGTTTAGAAACAGAGGAGGAAGAGCTGCTGGTCTGAGAGGTGTTTGTTATGTTGGTCTCTTGGCTGAAGGAGCTGTTGTCACTGCTGTGCCGCCGGTGCACAGAATCATCCAAGAGGGGGGATAATGGAGGAGGGAACAGCTTCTCTTCTCTTTTCTTGGCCACCTTCTTCACTGAGCTACCGCTGCTCCTGGGACACAGATAAAAACCAGCTGCATCTCGAGAATCTTCATTAATCCTTCATAGCACAAAGCTCTAGATTTTATTTACTGAGAAACCAGCTCTACCCTCAAATATGTCCTGCAGTCCCCATGTCCTAGGAGCTAAGTCAGAAGGGGACAGGCAGTGAAAACAGAAGAGCTACCTCTGCTTTTTCAACTGCTGCAGAAACCTCCTGCTTTGGAAGACAACTTCCAGTGCATTAGTACAAATTGCATCCAATTTAAATGCTAATTTGAGTCAGTCTTCATTTGAGAGGTCATAGAGGTTCTGACTCAGCAAAGAGCTGGAAAGTTTTATGCATGGCGTTAGTTCCTTTGACATCAAGTATGACTATTTATGTGATTAACATTAAGCATCTTTTTAAGAGGTGGATTAGGGCCCACAAAAGCAACCTTTGCAAAAAAACCCATAATCGCACATGGCATGTGAACCAAAAAAATAATTTATAACAACTACAAAATGATAACCAGAACAATAACAAGATAATAATTATTTGACCTCTAGAATAAAACCAATGTTCAACACTATATTAAAATGATACACTGTAGCTGGCAAAAGCCCTTGAGCAAATATTGGTTGATGAATTGAACGTGATTCAGAAAATGAATGTGGTTTTGACATGAAAGCTCAAGTAATATGATAATCTATTGTCTGTTTTATGTACAGAAATTGTTAGCTGGCTAGAAATGGCAGCTGTGATACACAGTAAAACCAAAAAAACCTGCTAGACCTTTCTCCCCTCAAATCCATCACAAAGAAAAAACAAACCCCAACACCCCACTGACTATTTAACATGTTAATCTGCTCATAGATTTTTATTTTAGGTACTGTCCTAGCTCAGTCAATGAGGATAACCTGAATTTTAATCTTTTGTTAGACATCTAATATTGCACTACATGATCATTTACTTTTCATGATTATTGACTAAAATTTCAATAACAAATTAAGTCAACAAGAACTTGTATTTCTTTCCCAGTCACTTTCAGTCAGTGTCAGGAATTATAGATCTACTTTGCCTTAAAGTAACCAGGAAAAGAGGAGAAGGCAATCCAAGTTTCCTTACTCCTCATTCTGGAGCTCTCTCTCATTCCTGTCTGGCCTCTGTTGCCGTTTCACCAACGGTATCAATATCTGCACCAGCTTTGGTAATTCCCCTACTTTGGGCCTTTGGTAACACAAAAAAATTTTAGCCTATCTGTGAAATCACGGAATGAAATCAAACTAACTACCCACGTTTCAGGTTTTATAGCTCTTCTACTCAAAACTATTTTAATTCGACTGAAGCAGAGTTAAAAAAATCTTATCTGAAACTCTTAGATATTAAAGATCTTCAGACTGAAGAAATAAAGGGAGCGCAGGATTCACATCGCCGTACAGTAGGCCTGGTATGGATGCTGTCCTGCACAGAAAACACATGCGCCTGAAGCTCAAAGGAAAGCAACCAGGTTGGAAGACTAGCAGCACTTGGAGAAGACTTATTTTATGCACATGTGGTCCTGCAACATATCCTCCAAAAAGTTCTGACTCAAAGCCCCATCTGTTCGCTTTCTTACCCCCAAAGGGCATTTTGGAACTCTGACAAGTTACCACAGCTATAGCACAATAACATGCTGAGCTTTTCCCAGAGGAAAGTTTTCCAAAGCACGGTGAGCACTGCCCCAAGAAAGCGTGTGTGTGTTGGATTGTAGAGAGGCAAAGCAGACACAGTTAATGAACTACCCAGGAGCAGAATCCAAACCCTCTGCCTCCCAAACGAATGTCCTACACAGGGAACCCTGAACATGCATATATAGGTGGGCGCACAGAGCGAAGTGGTTCTCCATGTCCCTGTGTACAGAAGCATGTGGAGCTCTTCTTTCTCCCTGGTACAGCTTTGCAAAGGGAAGAGCAACCAAGTCTGGCAGATCTACCTCAAAAGCATCTGAAGAAAAACTGAATGTGAGCCATTGACCGAGTTCCCTTTAGGATCTGACCCTGCATCACTAGTGAGGTTCCTCAGCACATCCGTGGCTATTTCCAGGGCTAATTGAGGACTCTGTCGCTTGCTCAGTCTCCCACTGTATGGGGAAATTTAAGGCACATATAAAGCAATCGAAGCAACATTCCTCAGCTGCTACACAGAAGTGGAGGGATTAAAAGAGTAGTAAAAGAAAAAAATGAAGATGGCTGCAGGTACCATGGTTAAAACTTCACCAGTTCACTTCATCTTTGGGCTCAAATATAAGATGGGGCAAACCAAGATACAGGTGCAGCTACTGAGCTCTGGCACACAAGCACTTCTGTGGGTGGAAAGACTTAACCACAAAGGAAAATGCACTTGGTACATTTTTTTATACATAACTCAAATTAGAAAACCCACAACAATGCGGTTATAATTCTGTCTGGATTTTTTTTTCTTCCCCCTCCCCCCCCCCTACTGCCCACTTAATCCTATGCATTTTCACAGGAATTAAGCTGATAATTTATTTAGCCATGTTACCTCCCTCAGATTTACACCAAAGCATTTGCGTTAACAATAACCTCCATGAAATAGGTTGTTACCAGCAGTTAACCAGATTGTCTCTTTGCTTTGGGCTGTTAATGGACTAAGAAACTGGTCTTTGATTGCAGTAATCGCTAATTTTGAATTAATTTATTGCAATAATTACTGAGACTTGATGGTTTAATTTGCTGACATGATTGTTAGTTAAACTATATTTAAAATCTAAGGAGAAACACAATAGAAGTGCAAGGAAAAAAAAACCAAGCAGAACTGATGGTCTTGTGGCTGCAGGTTTTAATCTTTGTCACTGAAAAGGCCAATTATCAAGGCACAAGAAGGCTCCCCATCTGCTTTTTTTTCCAGCCTGGTTTCTTCTAGGGGAGAAAGCAAGCAAGCGGGCAACAAGAGGTCAGTGTGTGGAGGAGAGAGAATTTCCATCCACTCTCACATTTCAAGCTGCCTTTCTTTGCCCTTTCTTTATGCACTCATTGCGGTATGCAGTGGTATCTCTGGCCTATTAGCGAGACAAAGCCATTGTCTATACCAATCACTTGGCTTTCCTTTGCCTCCACTCTCCCTGTCCACAATGGAACACCGCACATTGACGGTGTATCTGATTTTCTGCAGGGGGTTAGCAGGGAAAGGTCACTCCCACATGAGCTTGGACCATATGGCAGCAACTGAATGAAGCTGAAGTCATTGTCATCCATGTCGAAGGCTGCCTCTGCCTTGAACGAGCTCCAATGAATGCTGTTGTGACTACCCAAGGGATCGGCTAATATGTGTTGCCAAGTACAGGTGCATCTTTAACTAAAGGTCAAAGAAAAGGGAACAGGAAATCTTGAAAAGCAGGCTGAAATGCTTGCCTCAGACAGACTTCTAGTGTGCCTGTTAGACGGCAGGCATGCTTCACTGGGATGAGTCTAGTTCGAAATTCAGACTCACAGTTTGCATCAGCAAATAACTCTCTGTGTTGTTACAAACTGCCGAATGTTGGCGAATGTCTGGACTGGGTCTACCAATCAGGTATTGAGATATAAATAGTATGCAGCAGCACATACAATTAATGCTTAAATTAAAATTGCTCTGGCAAGCAAGTAAATACATAAATAATCCTCTGCTGCAAAGTGGGCAGCTGATCTGACAAAAATCCAGCCTCACAGCAGTGTTTCAAGGTATTACTATGAATTACTTGGACAAAAGACAGTATCATCTATTCCTTCATTTGCTATGAAATATCAGAAATAAGGAAAAAAAGGGGCAAATAATTATATTTTAAGTGTCACATCAGATTTAGGAAAAGGCATCAGCCCCAGAGTGCATGAGGGCAGGAAAAAACAGAGAGATAACTAGTTGCTTATGCAATGACTACATTATACAAACGGGATCTTTGTTTGTGCAAATGGCTTTTAAGTTCACAACTGATCACTTGAAATTTCTACACCCAAACTTTACATGCAGACACAGAAACTTGTGGAAATTAGGCATATAATTGCCCATATTAGGCATGTAAACCTTTAAAAATTAA